TTTTGAAAAATAAAAATATTTTTGTTAAAAATAAATATTTTCATTTAATTAATATAATATAAGTTAAAGAATGGAGTACAACCCAAGCCTTTGAGGGGAATAATAAAAAACAACATCATATTGTAACAATTTGTCCTGCATTCTACAGCTATTCATTAGAACCAGACTATCTTTACAAACTAAAATGAGAACACTTTTTTTCTCCAAAGAATAGCCATAAATATGTAGAATTCTATAAGAGAGCAATGTTTTCTCAACTGTATCTTCGGCTTCATATTAGTTTTCAGATTGACTTCTTCCCGAGGGAAATTCACCTTCAGTCTTTCTACTTAAACACAATGGAGAAAAAAATTTGACTACATCTTGATGCAGTCCCTTCTCTTTCTCAGATGAAGGCTGCAAAAGTGTTCAAACAATATCAAAATCTCAAAGAGTATATAGAGGATTATTAAGCTTAATCATACTGGAGAGAGCTGGAAATGAATACTAGATTTGTATCCTGTATCAAAATTAGAGCAACGTATATATAGAATAATAACGCTAATTGTATTTACCGTATATATGAGGTCATAGTTGTATAAGGGTCACATCCAGCATCGTAGTTTCATCATGAGAACATAGAACACATCTACTACAATTAAACACATATAAAATCTATTTCCAAGTTTCGAGTAGATTTATAATCAAGTAGGACAAAAAATGATCTAAGAAGCCAAATAAATATCTAATTCCATCATATAATACACCAAATTTTCGAAGTATGAAAAATAAAAGTTCTAATATCAAAGGGTAAATTGATTACTTTACAAACACTAATGTATATTAAATTAAAAAAACAACATCAATACCTTCAGCATAAGCAACAATGTTTTTAAATCAGAATTAAGAGTTGCAAACCCCACATCCTCTCTTCCTCCTCGGATCAAGCCCGAAAGAAGAAACCCGTCAAGCTTCCCCACATTCTCTCATATTCCAGTTTCACTTCCTCCCAAAAACCTCACCATGATTTTAACAATGACACTTTCTTTACTTACTATGCAAAACCCAATTCCAGCTACATAAATAGTAATACTCCTTCGCATACGTCATCCGTTTGGAATTGGGAGAATTTTTATCCTCCATCGTACATGCCTATTTGAATCAGCCAAAAATTTTCCAATAGAAAAGGCCAGCTAATTTTCCAAGAAGAACAATAACAAAATTAAATTAATTCAAAAAATCTCACTAATCACATCTTAAAAGATATTCCCCACAATACAGTAAACTGTGGAGGTTGAAGAAATTAATATAAGAACACAAAACCCCCAATTGAAAACCCTAGCTTACCAAATTCACAAAGGGGAGGATCTTTACAATCCAAATTGGGGACATCATTCCCCAACTTCCAATCATTGTGTAACAATTAACCTACCCTTCCTTACACTTTTATCCCCTCCTTGCATCTAATCCACAGACGAATCTCTTTCTGGCGAGATGGAAGAAAAAGATGCTGCATCTCAACTCGATCGACGGTGCCATCAGAAGTCTGAAGCCCTAGCTACGAAGTGGAATTGCGAGATTAGCACCAAAGCCATGGCCAAAGAGTAGCCGTTTCTCTGCTCATAAAGATCGACCACCGCACAATTGAAAATTCTCACATTGGAGAGATGAAATCTGAAGAAATAAGAAGAGATGGAATTGGAAACAAAAACCATTCAATATAAAAATAAATAACATACGAGTATTTTTTAGACAGACTATAAATATATAAAATAGTTGATAAGTCTTGGGAGTTATTTTCTTTTTTACAAAGGCCCCAAAATCGGACTAGTGTGGTAAATAATGACATTATGGGGAGAAATTGGCCAAACTATAATTTTTTTGAAATATCACAAGAGCTTAGTGCCATTAAAAGTTATCTAGATTGACACTTTCACATAAGTGCAGTTAATCGTGGCGAGCCTAGTGTCGTAAAAGCTCCTTTTTCTAGTACCGTATGTTACGTGAAAGATAGGTCGTTAGGTGGTGCATTGTACTTTGTTACTTTCATTGATGACATACCCGAAAGGTTTGGTGTTTTTCTTTAAAATCTAAAGACCAGGTATTAGATGTGTTCAAAGATTTTCACCTTAGAGTTGAAAGAGAGACTGGCAAGAAGTTAAAGTGTGTTCGAGTACAAGAGTCCGTTTGAGAAGTATTGTCAAGACCATGGCATTAAACTCCAGAAGAGTGTTCCGAAGAGTCCGTAGCAGAATGGCGTGGCAGAAAGAATGAACAGAACTATTACCGCAAAGATTAGGTGTATGCTCTTGAGTGCAAAACTGCCTAAATTTTTTTAGGGTGAAGCCATGCAAACAGCAGTTGATTTGATCAACCTATCTCCCTCAGTTCTATTAGATGGCGATCTACCACAACGAATTTGGAGAGGGAAAGATGTCTCATTTGAGCATTTGCGAGTTTTTAGTTATCGTGCATTTGTTCATATTTCCAAAGACGAAAGGTCGAATCTTGATGGCAAATCCAAGCAGTGTGTATTCTTGGGATATGGCAATGATGATTTTGGGTACAGACTTTGGGATCCTATAGAGAAAAAAATTTTCAGAAGCAGAGATGTGATCTTCTTTGAAGACCAGACCATTGATAATATGGAAAAGGGCAAGATGCCAGCATCATCACCTCAGAATCCTGTTGATTTAGATCTAATTTCTCCACAATCAGATGATTCTCCTGATGGGGGAGCTAAGATAGAGCAGGATGGTGAGTTTGATGGTAATCTTACTTCTAAGACAGAGACACCACCGGTTTTATCACCTCCTATTCAGCTTAGGAGGTCCAATAGAGACAAAAGACCTTCCACCAAGTACAATGCTCATGAGTATTTGTTGCTTACTGATGGGGGAGAGCCAGAGTCATATGGAGAGGTTTTTAGTCATGAGCAGAAAGATCAGTGGTTAGCAGCCGTGCAAGAGGAGATCAAATCCTTGCATGAGAATAACACGCATGACCTGGTGAAACTGCCTAAGGACAAGAGAGCACTCAAGAATAAATGGATGTTCAGACTAAAAACAAGTGAGAACAGCTCGCAACTAAGGTACAAAGCCAGATTGGTTGTGAAGGGATTCAATCAGAGAAAGAGCATAGACTTTGATGAGATATATCTCATGTGGTAAAGATGTCTTCGATCCGAGTTGTACTTGGGATAGCAGCCAGCTTGAATCTTGAGATTGAACAGCTTAATGTGAAAAAAGCCTTCTTACATGGTGATTTGGAAGAAGAGACTTACATGGAGCAACCAGATGGGTTCCAGGAGAAGGGGAAAGAGAAGCTTGTATGTCGTCTCAACAAAAGCTTGTATCGGTTGAAGCAAGCTCTGAGGCAATGGTATAAGAAGTTTGATGCCTTCATGATAGAGCAGGGTTATCAAAGGACTACAGCTGATCACTGTGTGTTTGTGAAGAAATTCTATGATGAAGGTGAAGGGAAGGATTGTTGGGCCAGATTCCCCACAATTAAGCCCGAGTTAATTAAAAATCAAAACCTTTTGGGTTTGGTTTTGGTGTTGGCCGTGGGTTATATAAATCCCTTGGCTTCTTGTATTTTTTGGTTTGACCGGAAAAAAGGTAAAACCCTTTGAGGTTTGGGTTTTGTTTTTTGATTGCTTATAAAAGCAAGTTGCCACACCAATTTGTGCGTGTGTTTTCAGCTTAGTGAAAAACAAGCAACATCCATGCATAGGTTTTGTGTGCGAGACATAGAAAAGAGAGAAAGCCAAGGTTTTGGTGTTTCGAGAAAAGTGTTTCATTTTGAGACTTTGATTGGGTGACGAAATAGAGTCAGTTGTTGGTGTAACTTTGCATGTGTGTTCCTCTCAACAAGATCTACAATTCCTTTGATTTAGTTTTCGGTTTATCTCTCTTTTGGTGAGATCCTTCTAATCCTACTTTGTGATAGGTGTGTGTGGAAGAGTATTGATGTAATCCACCTTTAGGTGAAGTCCTGTGTATCCACCGGTTGGTGAAGACTATTTTTCCATCATTGTGATAGTGGAGATTTGACTGTTGTTATAGTCTCGTAGTTTTTTCCGATTTGGATTTTCTACGTAAAATCTGTGTGCCTACTTTACTTTATTAGTTCTTCGATTGTTTGATTGTTTGGTTGGCTTGGTTGGTTGTCCTATTTTATTGGTAGTAGGAAAGGAGCTTTTCTTGAGGTTCGTTTCTACTGATCAATTGTGTGTATGCCCTTTCTGCCACAACAGTGGTATCAGAGCCCAGGTTGGGCCAGTTGAGTAGGTAATTTAGCTCAAATTATCTTGGTTGATCTGAATGAACCCAGGCAATCAAAGGCCCACTACGAGCGGAAACGTAGGAATTGGCAGCCCAGTTACTCAGGTGGAGTACAGATTTGGGCTTGTTAAGATAATTTGGAATCCCGACGTAGAGATTTTCCATGACGGGGGAGAATGTTGAGGGTCATGTGATAAGAGTTGTGGATCCCACATCGGAGGCATGAGGACATGTGAATCAGTTAATAAGTAAGACGGACTCAGGACCCATTAGTTTGAGTTTTAGAGTCCAGATGGGTCTTATTTTACTTATTAGGCTCCATGTCGGATTTTCTCTCCCGGATATATCCCTAACAAAATTAGTTTGAATGTGATAAAAATTCAGCTTGAGCACTTCCCACTTTTCTCCTCGATCGTTAACAGTCGTCTTTGGAAAAAAAAAAAAAAAAAAAAGGACGTTCTTTCCAGGAAGCTATAGTCACTTAACAAGACCTTTATAGTTTGTGGCAGTGATGGATCAGAGCGCATATCTCTGAATCAGTCATTATCAAATTAACTGGTCAATAATGTACACGTACACCTCTACATAATCTATTTTCTCAGTAAAAAAAAATTGATACTTTGGAAAAAGTTTAATCACAATAAATCAAACTGTAGGACGACTCTGACCGGCAAAATCTCGTGCAGACTATATATATTTAAGGTTGAGTCCCAGCCTCCCAGGTTCATTTCCTCATTTCAAACATACATCATCACTTTAACGTGAGAATCTTGGTTTTTATAGTTTTGTTAGAATGATATAAAAGATTTAGAAAAAGTAGCCCACAATTAATAGAAAATTAGAAACAAACAGAAAAAACTCATTCATCATCGCCATGAGTTCTACTAACACTACTACTACTTCCTCTACTGATGAAGGGCTAGTTCTTCCAGATTTTCCCAATGAGTTGTTTGATTATTTGTACCATCAACAACAATTCATGGACGCTTTGGACGACGTCCCCTTCGTCGGAGCAACTGAACCCGCCACGGTTTCCGACGATACCAGCTTCGGAGATGACGTCATTGTTTCAGGGTCCGATGACATTTTTAGTATTCCCGGTGGTTGCGATGAGACCATGTATCTCATCCATGATCTAACCGGCACGCCGGCGTCTTCCACTGCCAGCGGTGCCGCCAACGCCGCCACAGTCGTCACCCCTGAAAACTCGGCCACGGCGAGCAACAACACGAGTGTGGATTTGAGCCCGAAAGTTGGTATCGCGAAACAAGTGAAAAGGCGGTCGAGGGCTTCGAAGCGGACGCCGACGACTCTACTGAACGCTAGCATCAAGAATTTCCGATCACTTGTGCAACAGTACACCGGCAGCCAGAGTTCAACGTCAGGGTTCAACAGGAACGGGAAAGGCCCCATCACCTTGAACTTTGGCGCCCCGAATGATCGTCGGAATAACTTTCCGGTAACGTTTGGCAACTATCAGTACTCCGTTGAGCAAGTTGATCATCAGATCTATGGAGGGCAATAAGGCCTGATGATGATCAACTCATTTGTCGACTTTAAAACTGATGGATCAAGTACCTCATGATCTATTTATTATGCACCTTGCTAACTTCTTCTTTAATTTCTTTTTCCTCTTTTTTTTCTTTCTTTTTTCCATGATCGTTCATAGTGATGATATAGGGCCAAAGAAAAACCCTTCATATCATGCATGCACCTGATGATGCAGTGCAACATGATCAAATCTCAAGTTCCATCCGAAGAAGCTTAACATTCATTCACAATCACACGTGATCTTGATCTATATGATCACTCCCTTCTCCCATAAAATAATCCAGTTTGTAAACTGTAAATTGTACTGAAGTTTACAGTTTATAACGTAAGACTACTTTTGTGGGACAAATGAGAATACTAGTATTGCCAGATTCCTGGATATGTTGTTGTGAAATTGTAGACAGGCCGATCGACACCGGACGGGCATGACTTGTGAAGTATTCGGGCTAGCTATAGCAGTCGTCCTTATAAACTAAATAATTAAGGGTACTTACAATAATAGGAATTGTATTTTCATATGATATAATGTATAATAATATATAAGGTTATATATAGACAATAATAAACTCTATACAAAAGATTAGTACTGTAAATATAATTATTACAATAGTTATAGGGAAGTGTTGAACAGTATGGTTTTAACGTTACTTTTTTTTTTTTTCTTTTGGGGTTTCTTCTTTGGGAGACACCTGAAGGGTGCCCTCAATTCAATATAGAGTAGATACTAGAGCTTACCTTATGTATGATGGGAACAGCGGAATTTTATTTTATTTTCCTCCAAACTATATATATTGCATATTTACGTGTATGAGCTTAATTATCGATTGGCCTAGTGAAATTTCCTTTAGCTTCTCTGTTTACAACTTTACATATGTTTTGTTTCCTCTCTATCGAATATGGCCTATGCAGACAGGATTTTCATTTGGATTTGGTTTTAGTGTTTTTGTGTCGAGTAAGGGTTATAACCATATCAGCGAGCTAATTAACCAAATTGATATTGAGTTATAATGTAATCTGTTTTACACCGTCCATCTAATCACAGAGAATGTTTGGTTTTTGTTCATATATGTGTACTACACGTGTACTCCTTCACCACAATAAACAAAACAATTAATATTATTTTGGATCGTAGGACACGAATTATGTAAAAAGTGGAGATTATGAAAAAGAACAAAAGTGATTTCAAATGTTTTGTGAGATGAAGACAAAAAAGAGTTTTGGATCCTGATTGACGGCCGTACACGCAATGCTTATTACTATTTTTTTTCTCTCTTTTTTTATTTAAAACAAAATTGAATCAAATGCTTATTGTCCTTTCATAAGAACTTCGAACGACAAAATTTTTGACTCAATTAATTTATGTATGTTTTCCTCCAGCAAAAGATCTTTGGTAATATTTTTGTATAACACTCTATGACATTAATTAAAATTTTGACACGTGTTTAATTACTTACCAAACAAGACTCACTAACTATTAGAGTGTTAGTTACTGTTGCCAACAGTAGAGACTGTGTAATATGAAAAAAAAAAGTGTTAGTAATTAATTAATTAAATACGTTTCAACCATTTAACTAGCATCACAAAAAAGTATCACACAAAATATCATAAAAGACCCTATGCCCTTTTCTCCTATTTATGAATACTGTAACCTGACTTCAAATTGCACATGAATACAATAAAATTACATCCTTTTAATCATTGAATAAAGCGTGTAACACTTTAGACTATGGATATCATGTGTCCGCGAATAGATTAAAAGTTGTAAAAAGATTGCAATCGGTCAACAAAATACTATATGGGTGACGAAACTATGCTCCAATTACTTTTTTTTTTCCTAAAGAAATTTAGGGAACCACGTACCCCCAAATCACCCGCACGTGGAAGGAATTTTCATACTGCTTGAGACTTTTGTAGTTTTGAAGGTAATATTTATTCTTCAAAAAAAAAATTCCTTCGTCTCAAAAAAAAAATCCACACTCAATTTCGTTATTTGAACTAAGCACAAAATACAAAACATATATAATTTGAATTGTTTTTTAGGCCAGAAAGATCTAATGATACTCAACCAATGGCTACATGATTTATACGGTAGAAGTATAGAATTGTTTAACCTGACCATTGTTCAAATGTTAGCTTCGACTGATATATTTGGAGGATAAAAATATTGGCTGGAAGAATTTTATTTCACTAAAAAGAGACGTTATTCGAATCCAGTTAATAATGGCAGCAGATTGTTTAACATACAAAAAACTGTTCGGCATATATATAGTTTTGCATATGTTTAAATTTGGGGATCGGGATGGGTATCCTAGCTTCATGTAAAGTAGATTTAACCTCCAATATCTATACTTGTCAAATTATTTATGATGTTTACGTACCTTTCTATTTTGATAGTCCAAATTCGGAGTGTAGAACTTTTTTGAATGACGAAAAAGTTTTCCTATTCTAATAATGATAATAATGGTCAAGTCTACAAATAAAAACCACAAACTAGGCAGCTGATGAAAAAATTATTGAAACCCCACAAACAGAAAAATTATATATATTGAGACCTCAAATGACTAAATTGGAAGTATATATATGCAGATAAATTTGATCTAAATTATGTTCAGTACGTACTAGTAGACTGCGGAATGGAATTGCTTACTTTTGTTTCGATTTCACCTGTACTGGGAAGTCTCGTATCTCATCGATCGACCAGTTGTAAGATTTGAATAATTCTGAATGAAACAACTCATTGCAACTGAAAAGAGAAAATAATAATAGAATTGCAATGTCTGAAAATGGATGATCAACGTGGATCTTTAGTTGTCCACAGTTTGGGAGATTTTTCTAAAGTTGTCTGTTTGGGCACCGGAGCTTCTGTGCCTCTTCTCGATAGATAAAGGGTGCACCTTTCAAAATTATTTGCACGACACTTTGATTATCAAAGTTTTGGCACAGGATATTCTGCATCACTTTTGTGTGACACTCTTTGTTGCATCATTTAATAAGGTCGTATACATTTTATCATTTGCGTTAATATTTACATCATTCATGATCATTTTCGAAGTTATATATTTTAGAAATAAGGGTTCACTTTTTTCAAGTTAGGGCCTATTTATTTTGATTTTCATAGTTAAAAATTTCAATAAAAAATAGACAAATATTATGAAAAATAAAATATTGATACAAAAAATAAAATAACAATATAAAAATTATCTACATTAATAATATGTACCTATGGTATATGAATTAACATAAATTTTATTATTTATAAAAAATAATTGAATTGTATAACAAAGAGTGCCACAAGAAAGCGGCACAGAAGAAGTTCCCGTGCCGTTTTACGTACTCCCTTTTCTTTCCTTCTTTGTCAGAGACCAATACTTGATTTAGTATATACAGTTATATCCCTTATAATTTTTTTCCTCATCAAAATATTGTATATACAATGGCTTCCAAGAGTTCGAATTTGGTCATATGCGTTGCTTGCCTTGGAAGTGTTCTAAGGGATGGATACATCACGTAAGTGTTCTAAGAGATGATACATCACGTAAGTGTTTATTACTGTTAAATTATTGTTGTCTTTACAAGTAGGGCATAAAGATAATTCATAGTTGTCTCGTAAATCATCGAAATAACGTTGTTTTCGTATGATACTCTTCAATAATTCAAGGAGAGAGGAAGACTCTAATAATTTATATGTAAAGCGAGCCAGCTTGATGAAAGTTACTTAATTGATTTTTTTTTTTTAAGGAAAAAAAAATCAAACTATTATGCACAGTTCTGCTTCAAAACAGTACCACTAATTATGTGATTCAACGAATTCTTACATCATTTGATAGTTAAAGTTTACTTAATTTTCAAAATTTTTGTATGAGTTTAAACCTGCAACTTTTTAGGTTATCACTTCGATCAACTTAATTCTTTTGAGATCAACCAATCAAACAATGAATCATGGCATCTTCCAGATCATTTTATTTTATTGTAGCAAATTAATGAAAATAACAAGTTATATGATCCCTACTTTATGAATACTTTTGTGTCTTATCAAATACTCCCTTCGTTCCACAAAAATGGTCCACATTGAGTTTTCAAAAAAGATTTCGGGCCGTGGATAATTGCCCAAAGAAAAGATTTTTCTATATTGAAATATCAATTGAAAAAACAATAGGCAATCAGCCGATAGGAATGTGGAGAAGAACCAAAACAGAATGGTTACCTCTACTCAAAACTAAGAGGGGACGCCGCCTACCCGGTTTTGCAACAGTTGCATTTTTCTGTATTTTTAATATAAATTTGAAAATTCAATGTAAACTATTTTGTGACGAAGCTAGTATTGTTTTTAGCTGGCAGGATATCATTTTATTGATCATTGAACTTTCCAAATGTTGATCTTGCGTGTGTTGTGTGATCAGAATCATGAGAGCTCAAACATTTGTTTTTTTCATTATCAGTTTATTGCTGAATTGCCACTCTCTATCAAATCATGGTTGGTCATCAATAACCTTTCATGTGACTAACAAAAATGAATGGAGAAGGGATGGGTTATATAAATTGGGGAAGGAAAACATATGTATATATATATATATATATATATATATATTAAGGGTAAGGAAAATAATTGTTTCTACTGTTTTACACTAATCAAGATAGAGATCACGTGGAAAATATATAAAGTTATCTACATAGTTAAGTGACTACCACATAATAGACTATTTTGTACTCCATCCGGTTCTTGTTATAAGACGTTTTGATTTCGTTCTATGTTTCATCTAAAATATTTTTTTAATTGAAATAAAAATCTTAAAAATATTTCATAATAATTAAGAAAATACATGTGAAAATATATTTTTAAGATTTTTTTTCCAATTAAAAGATATCTTAGGTTAAACCTAGAACAAAATCAAAATGTCTTATAATAAGGACGGGAGGGAATATATTTTTTGTTCACTAGTTTGTACATATGGTTTGTATCAGATAAAACAAGGAAGTTTTGGTTGGAAATTTGGAGCTGAATGCTTACCTCTAATATAGCAATTTACATTTTTTTTTTCAGAAAAAAAAAGTGAGAAACTGCGAAAGGGTAAGAACCTCAATTGATGCCTATTAGTGGATTTTTTTTATTTTTTATTTTTTTGAAACAATGCCTATTAGTGAATTTATAAAAGGAAAATATAAACTCATTTTGTGGATTATTGGACATGGGCTACCACTTAGGGGTCTAGCTAGGCTACCTGCGAATATGTCTTTTGAAACACCGAGAAGAACCTATGAAAGAAATTTATGAACAAATTTTACTCAAACCCCTAAGTCATTTAAGTCAAAATTCGCGCTCGCGCCCTCCCCACTGTGATCAGTTAGGCAAGAATTGAAATCCCAACCATAACTGAGACAAAAATAAGAAAGCAATAGTCGAAAATCAAGTTCTTGTTATAAATATCTAATAATGTAGATGTTCACAAAATAGAAGAGTTATACAAGAAATCAAATGTATAAAGATAATATTTAGTTAGATTCTATCATTAATTAGATCTTATCATTATTTACTAGTATTGTGCATGCGCGTTGCACAGTCTATATTAGTTCTAAACTTTTTTTAATTGATTTTAGTTTTTTTTATAAACAAAGCAAAGCAAATGAAATACGCCATTATCGACAGAATTTTTTGAAGGGCCAGGAAGATCATTAACGCCACATCACTGAAATATATGATAAAAATAAACAATTACAACAAATTAATATTTAAACATTCTTCATACTCTTCAACAGGGAGTACGATCTTTTTCATTCTTCTTCTTGGTTAAATGTAGACATTCTTGTAGTCGCAAAAAGATGACTAAATTCCAATAAAAGTCTAG